CCTTGAAAAATTACTCAAAATCAGATATAAAGTGTATAATATTACTTGTATACAGTCTAGAGCAGTGTTTCCCAACCTTTTTTGTGCTATGCCCCACCTAAGCCTTTCTAAAATTCTCATGCCCCCCTAACATATACAGTGGCTATATCAGGCATGGCCAACATACGGCCTGTCTAATGAATTTATGTGGCCCGCGATTAATGTTCCAATATTAGCTACTCAAGTCTGAATAGCTTGATGAAAAATTCTGATGCCTAAAAAAAAAAAAAAATGAAGTCAACAACTCATTTTCAAATTGCCCCCCTTAACAATCGAATTGCCCCCTTGTGGGGTGTGGGTACCATGTTGGAAAACACTGGTCTAGAGATATTTTATTTTTAGATTTAACATTTTAATTCCATTTTTGTTCATATTGCAATACATAAAGCATTATAGTTTACTAAGAATTTATTAAACTAAGTTATGTTATGTTTTATGAGAATGTGTGTATTGTTAGGTATCAAATACATATATTCTCTATCACTATATGACTAATGGTTCAAGTTTAATAATCAAGCATTAATCATTAAAGGAAAATATAATAGTTTAAGACACAAGAATTTACTTCTATGGTATGCCAATATCTTATAATAATAAAGAAATTTTTACTGTCTTTCGGAGTATAATATTTATTTGTAAAAACTAATCATCACATATATATTTTTATAAGTTCAGAAAAATAAAATCACAAACTTATTTTCAAAATTCAAAATATAATAAACCTTTATATATGAAAGTCATCTGCATTTAAATAAATATTTCTATCTTTTGCTATTACCTTCCAGATTTACTCCAACTACATATTGGATACTGTCCAACATGAAATTATCATATTGTGTTCAAATCTTGCACAACAAACAACCAAGATCAATGGTTATATTTAACACATCTAAAAATTGCTGATTAATCAGTTCAGCAAGTTGATGTAGCTAATAAATTGATAATTACATAACTTGGCATTTTTATACTGTAACAAATATTCAAAGTAAATATCAACTGAAGGATAAGCATAAATTTTTTAAAATATATTAATGAAAAACATTATTAAATAAATATATGTTATCCCAATACAACTAAAATACATATTCATTAGTTTCTAGAAATAATCAGAAGAAAAAATAAATTTCCAATGAGAATAAAATAATTATATGGTATCTAACCTGTCTTTTACATATTTATTTAAAAAAAATAAAAACAATTTAAATTCAGTTACTTTCTTTGATTTTATAAACAACATTTTGAGCAATACAGAGGGTTGCCAGGTTTTTCAAAAGAAAAAAAAATTTTTTTCTACCACAGATTAAACATTTTATTACATTGTTTACATTAACTTACATGCTATTTACCTCTTCTAACATTTCTCTTGTGATTTAGTTGTGATCCTGTTTTGCAAATAGATAAAATTCCTTACAAGTGAAAGGAAAACTGTGTACAATCTGTAGTTCCATTTTGATCAGCTCTAGATGGCTTTTGTTTCTAACATCTGTCCATTTTTTCTTCATTACTGAAAGACCCTTTCTACAAAGATATTAGAGCCTGGAATACTTAGTAAAAATTCTATAATTTTAAGGTGGCCAATCGTCCTCCTTTTGTAAGTTCTGTCCTCCCTCGAAAAGTGTCCTTCTACATGTCCTCCTTTTCGATATTTGAAGACTAATCTTTAAATCTCCATATTCAATCAATGCCAAGCCAATCCATTGTATGTGATGTGTTTGTATTTAACTTGATGATTCATCAAGGCTTGATACAGTGCGGCAAGATGTGATTATGAGACACATGCACTCCTCACAAAAGACTTTGTGAGAGAGCGCCGTGTGGAAGTGGCTTTGTTTACTTCTTACTGAAATATTACACGGCACATACACATACAGTAGATATTATTATAGTGTATTATTGTTGCAATGAATAAAATGTTTCTTTTATTACAATATTTTTTCCTTCAATTTATTTGTGTCCCCCTTTTCATTGTAAAATAGTTGGTCACCTTAATAATTTTATTTATGTTTGAAACAATTTCATTAAAAAAGTACAGCCACTTATTAACATCAATGCCTTCATAATTCAAACACACTAACAAAACACCCCTACACTCACAAAATTCCTCATACAGTTCATCAAGGTTAACAAACTGTTGCAATTTTAATATACAGGGCAAACCAAAAGTAGGTGGACAGTAAATGATAACATTTATTGAGATTACATATACAATTATATTTATTAATACAATGCAATACAATTTTATCAATGCAGGTGGCTCAAAACTGGTGTCCATCACAATTTATACAGCTTTGAAGTTTACATTTCACCATTTCACACTTCACAAACATTTTTGCACAAGTATTTTCGTGTATTAATTTCTTGAAATGCATCTCTAATGTAATTTTTCAACTATAACCATAACCAAGTTAAATATGCACCATCGTTATAGTATAACCCTAACACAGACCTTATTCCACCTACTGTCCACCTACTTTTGGTTCATCCTATATATCAACTGCATTTTCAAAGCTAGAATATTCTAGGTGTAATTACAATATTCTGAGAATTTTAAAATGAAATCTTTTAATGTGTATAAATGCAAGAGGAAAAAAAAGGAAGAAATAGTCTTACAGGCAAAAGAAAAACTAAGCTGTAAAGTGTACAAAAAAAACAAAGCTCATGGAAAAAACATAAGACCTGGCAACCCTACCTAGTTATGCAATTATTACAGAATAATATCCAAAATTAAAAACAGAATTTAATGTGAAAAACATTATTTAATATGAAAATGATTTTCTGAGTTTAATACAAATAAAATAATAAATATGTATATAGGAAAAAAATGAACTTAATTATCATTAAATGCTAAAATTCACATCTTCCTCTCACTTTCCAGCAATTCACTGATTAAAACAAACGTTTTCAACTACTTTCAGTGGCCTGTGTCAGCTTAAGCAGAATTCTATATCGAACATCTATAGCAGGTTTGAAGTTTGGAATAATGCTATTTTTCTTTGATATAATTGTCTTTGAATTAAAATATACTAAATTTATGTACAGATTAATATATAAATAGTTTTAACAAATTAAAGGAATAATTAAGACTAAAAATATTAAAATGCCTCTAACAAATAATATAACTAAAAAATTAAAAAATTATATTATTTAGAGAGATGTAAATTGCTATTATTGCATGTATTATTGGTTGTTGCTATTTTTTAAGGGGTTATCCAATATAGATTGCCATGCCTTGGATACAGATATAGATTCTTTACTGTTAATGCAGATTCAAGTGTTGCAGCAAATATTTCAATTCCTCCATGGTTCATAGTTTATGGTTATCGAGTGTGCATTTTAAAAGCTTTGCTTCTGCCCATCATGAAGACATCTCTTTCTTGCTTGCTTTCCACTTCTCTTCCTTAAAGTTTATACACTGTCCTTGTATGTCTGCTTTAAAAATTTCAAGAGCCTCCAGTATTTTGAGTTGATCCATGTTTGCCATGATTCTAATTTAATTAAATTTACAATAAGCTACATTGATTAAAACAGCAGCAAACATAGACCAACTCAAGATACTGAAAATGCTTGGAATTTTTAAAGCAGACAGGCAAGGCCAGTGTGTAAACTTTACAGAAGACAAGCAGATTTCACAAGCATAGAAGGCCTTATTTGACAAGTCATTATAAAATCAGTTCACAACATCTACACTAGGGAGCATCGTATTGATCAAACTTTGGTTTTAAATTCAAATTTTCTCTGGAGTTCTGCATGATCCATTTTATAACTTCAAAGCCTGTGGCATTCTATTTCTTCAAAAACTGTAACCTGAAGCAGGTATTAGACATAGACCAAAAACATTTGTTTTTCTAGATATCAGTCTGCTGGATGAGTTTCAAGATTAGAGTGTTTTTATCTTCAAATCAGATATCATCATCAAAACAAGTTATATAAATATGTAAAAAACAAAGTTTTTCTTTAGTATAGCTTCTGTCTCTATTATGCTTCTTTGAAATGATATAATAGTGTGAAACCCAGCCATTAGTTTACAGATATACTTTAGACTCTATAATTTTAAAAGCAATAATTGACAATGGTTAGATGAGAAAGGTATATTGGAATTCTCCTGTTATTAGTACTGAAATGAAAGAAGGCTACACCACTAAGTTATAGGGCCAGAGATTTATACATAATATACAATAAACCACTGCTAACTTTGAGTAAGAAGGGTAAAGATTGTTCATATTTATGAAAGTCTGAGTTAGTAGGTGTTTTCTCCAACAACATGCAAAATAAGAATGTGGATATAAAGTACAGCAATTTATCATCATCAACTCTATAAAGAAGTTTTAATAAGATCAGATTATACTGTTGAATTTATTATTACAGGAAATGTGCTAAAAAAGTTTCATGACAGAACAGTATACACAATGTACAATCTTTAGTAACTTACCAATTACAGAAATATAACACTTTGTATTGCAAAGACTTCCAGATATTGGAAACACTCAATCACATTTTCTACTGTCAAGAAATTTTAAATTACTATTTAGAAAAAATTTGTACAAATTAGCAGGGGTTTACTGTATATTATCTAAATACGTTAATATCCCTCTTAGTGCCCAAAGGGAGGAAAGAGTTTAAAAAAAAAACTATGTTAATGTAATCAATGCCAAAAATGCACTTGAGCTCGAATTATTAGATATAAGATTTCTCATTTATCACAAATATTATTTCTAAAGGTTAATTAGATAAACCTCCTCTTCATTAATGCATCGTTATACATTTCACAAGTTTCAGAATTTGTTGACTCCATGTAATATCAGGAGAAAAACAAATGCTAAGAAGATCTGGAAACTAAGTCCAAAAAACATTTAATTAAATAAAAAGCTTTAACTTCTATAATCTTCAAAAAACTTCTTTAACTTCTATATTCAAAAAAAAAATACTTTTAAGAGTTTTAATATTTTATTAAATTCTCTTACCTTGTGAATCAAAAGGCACTAATCTAGGTTCTTCTATAATAATTGCTCGATTGAGATTTGATTTTCTTTTTGAACTTTTATCTTTAAGAATATCATGTTTTGTTTCAGAGTTGTTGTTGTTATAGGCACTTTTTTGTTGAACAAGGGAAGAAGAAATTTTCTATTTTGAAAAAATTTTAAAGAATCATATCTAATCTATATTTCTATTATTTTAATTTAAATAAATGAACATACAATTCAAATACAGAACAATAAGATGTTGACAAAATAAAATATATGAAAAATGTACAAAAACTTAAAATTATTATATGATAATTTAAATTACTGAAAATGATTAACAAAATGATAAAAAAAAATAATTCTTTTAATATTTAGATTTATTCACATCAAATCAAACTAAAATATAAGAATAAAATTTAACTGCTTTACTTATAAGTTGTTTGAGTACAGATAAATAAATCACTAAAATATGACTAAAGCAATGGTTCTCAACCTGTTTTAGTTTGTAGCACAATGTGAAAAGATGTAAAATTTTTCTGGAGCACCTTATAAACAAAGTTACAAATATACATATATATAATAAAATCACTTAAAGATGACCTTCTCCAAAACTTAGGAAAACTGTTATCTCAAGGCATGGTCTTGTCAAAGCAAGTGACAAAAATATAATGGATGGAGTACCATATATAATGCTATATACAGTACAGTAGTACTAACTACATATTCTAGTGTAACACTACACAGGCTACTATACAGGTGATGTAGTAAAGATTATTTTTAAAAATGCTATGTATTGATTAATACTGCATACTGCAAGAAAATTTATTAACATATCACATGTATTTTTACATGTATATCACAGTAAAGATTATTTTTAAAAATGCTATGTATTGATTAATACTGCATACTGCAAGAAAATTTATTAACATATCACATGTAATTCTGTGTATTATATGTGCATACAATATACAGAATTGTAAAACATGTTTTAAATATTTTATTTAAAATAATATAAAAGAGACATTTGGTTTCTCTGTTTTAATTTTTTCGGTAAGATGATGCCTTTAATATTTCTTTTCTACGTTCGTTCTTTAAATTTCTTTTCTATTTGGTGAAATAGGTTGCTCCTTTCATGCCAAACAAATTCCAAAAATTGTCTAAATTCCACCCAAATTTGTTGTCATCAATTACCATTTTATCCATTCTTGTTAATGAAAAGATTAAATTCATTGGCTTTGTTTATTTAGTTTAATAAGAGTAAACAGAACATAAAAATATGACATAGACTAGCTTCCTTGAGGCAATTAATTAACAGCAAATTATGTATATTCTCCATAATAAAACCAAATAGGAGAAAATGAAAATATTGAAGCTGGTAAAAAAAAACTGACTCTTGAGATAAACTTTACACTGAAATAGTGCAACAAGCTCAACATTGTGCACTGTATGTTTTGATATACCCATGTTTTGATTTCATTATCTCCTCTGGATGATGAAACTGGTTGTCTCAAAGAGGGTATTTTCACACAAGAATTATGAGTGGAGTTGATCACTGGTCAGATAAAGGGATGGTTGGCTTAAGGAAAGTTAAAACAATGGGATTGAACAGAAAACGTACCCGGCAAATTAATAATCAAAACAATCAACACCTAATCCGTTGCCGAGGGAGTTTATTTATAAACGAACGTTTTCAATCTATTTCATAGATCATCTTCAAGTTGTAAAAACGAAAATAGAATATCCACAAAGAATAGAACATTAAATTTAAAGTTCAAAATATCGCCAACTGAGTAACTAAGTAAAATAATTAAAGTGTAAAAATACCAATTGTAAAAATAAATAACATACAACAATAAATAAGTAATATTACAAGTCGTTAACATTTAACAAAAATTATAAATGCTCTCATAACGTGAATTGCGAATCAAGTCGTCATTCATAAATACACTCTCCAACTTTAGCGAAGACAGCCGAAAAAATTGAAATATACAGAAGCAAACTTGATGATAGATGTATAAACGCCAGAGATGCAGAGGGCCTACCCTCAGCATGGAAGTTTGCTATTAAAAGACTTATAAATGGCTTATGAATGACGACTTGATTCGCAATTCACGTTATGAGAGCATTTATAATTTTTGTTAAATGTTAACGACTTGTAATATTACTTATTTATTGTTGTATGTTATTTATTTTTACAATTGGTATTTTTACACTTTAATTATTTTACTTAGTTACTCAGTTGGCGATATTTTGAACTTTAAATTTAATGTTCTATTCTTTGTGGATATTCTATTTTCGTTTTTACAACTTGAAGATGATCTATGAAATAGATTGAAAACGTTCGTTTATAAATAAACTCCCTCGGCAACGGATTAGGTGTTGATTGTTTTGATTAAAACAATGGGACCTATGAAATAAAAGTTGTTCTAAGAAAAATCTAGTAATCTAAAGGGGTAATTGGCTTAAAGGGCTGGTCATCTGAAGAGGTTTTACTGTATTTTAAATTATGAAAGCTGTGTACGATAATAAATGTCACCCTAGAGGCCTAGTCTACAGCCTTCGTTATTAGTTGATTATAGACAGACATAATAATTCTTTAAACAAATAAACTTTTCATTTTTATATAAAGCAAATCTTCAATGTCAATTCATTACATCATCATTGAGGAAAGATACAAGTACACTTGTAATCATTTACAATTATCACTATCAAATTTTCTTTATAAACAGTAAAATATATTATATGAAATGAGAAATAAATAATAAGTTGCAAACATAACCCAATAAAAATATTAACTGAATTATAAGTTGTTTGCATCAATTAAACTATGATAGAATTGATTTCATTATACATCAGTTTCACTTAACATTGCAGTTCTAAGAGCCTATCAATGACATCAAATGCAGAATAATATTCAAGACATAAACAATTATATTCAAGGCACATTTAATCATCTCTTACAGTACATCAATTTGCTGCAAGATTATAAAAGATTATCAAACACTGTGCCGTATCATACTGAAAATCTATTTTAATGTTTTCATTGCATAAAGCAGGACCAAACCTTGTCATAATAAATGCCATATACTGCTATAAGAAATAAGTGAGAGCCTTCTGTATATACTTCATTACTTACTTATTTATGGTTTGTTGTCAAAACACTAGCTGTTTAAAGTTCAGTTTGTACAAATATGCTCTTAATTTTCAATTGCCTGTTCAAGGTTAAATTGAGAATTACACTTCACAATATGTATAAATATATCACACTAAATAACAGCAAACTTACTAAAATATTACACAAGTGTTAGTAGTATGAGCCAAAGTTCATAAAAAGATATTGTATACAGAAGCCACAGTAAAGATCTGAAAGAGCTACATATGACTTGCAAACACTGTGGGCCTATAGCATATATTTCTTTTTTTGACAATGTTTCTTGATTCTGTTTGTTTATTTTTAATAAAGAGATACTGTTTGTATTGTTTCTTTTTATTTAATATTACTAAAAAATAAAAAACTTTTATTTTAATTTTATTAAACAAAATTATATACTAAATCAAAACTAAAAGTAACAAAAATTGCATTATTTGGAAAATCAGAAGTTGAGATAAAAATTCCAGCACTTTCAGGCTAGAACCATTTTATTATTATATTAATTTTATTTTACAATATCATCATCTCAATCTTCTTTTATTGTATTATAAAACATATAACATATTTAGGTCATATCTGAAATTATTCAACACAGAAAAAATTTAATGTTAGAAGCTATAATGACAGAAATAAAATGTTTATTCCCATAGACCACATCTGGTCCATTTTTAGTTTTTATTGGGCTGCAATTTTCAAATTGCAGACCTATACATTTCCACTGTCATCCATCCATCCATCCTTTGTTAATCTTGAGAACACAGTTAGATGGATAAAAATCAAAACCAGATATGGAAAGCTTATTTTTAAAGTAAAATATGATGATAAAAAATGTAGCTCAGCATTGTGATGATGTCACAATAAGTAATTGCTTGTTTTATTTTATGTTCTGTCAAAGCTCTAAAAATAACATAAGCTCTGTATCTAAGATTGTAAAATTGTTTTAAATATGCTAGTTAAATAGGTTAACTAATTCAGCATGAACAATTTTTCATATTAAAAAACAGATAAAAAAACAGCTCCAATTAACTCTAATTTTTCTCTAAACTATAAATTCTGATAATGGATGTTGCATATATTTAAAAAATTAAAGTTAATAAATCAAAAATCTTACTTTGTGACTTGATTTATTAGAAACATTATCATTCATATCAATGACTGCAACTGATGAATCATTTAGAGAATATTTCGATGGCAGTGCTATTCCACTATCAGAATATATGGATTGCTTTGCAGGAGATGATGTTTGCTTATTAAGAAAATCTGAGAAATAAAAATATAACTTTCTTTAATATACAATTGAATATCTTAATACTAATTCATGTAAAAATAGAAACACATTCATTTCAATATCATGTAAGTTAATTTCCAACAGAATCATTAATGGCAACTCCACCAAACGTTAAGTGTTTTAAAATTTTTGCAAACTACTTTACTGGATATTTCAGTAAATAATCCATTTAAAAATCCTATGAGCATAATCTTAAATATTATACTTATTTTCAATGCCACAATTTCAATAGACAAGTTTTAAGATAGTATCTTCATTTGAAGTGAAAGACAGGGGATGCAAATATCCTTTGCAGATAACAGATTAGAAAAAATTGTTATGATAAAAATGGGCAGTTATCCCATTTTTGAAGATTGTACTACTCAAGGACAGTACTTGAGGCTGAAATAGTGTAATAATCATGTAAATACCCATTACTTTTTTAGAATGTTCTGTGGGTTATTTTGTTATTATTTGTTGCAAATTGTGTAAACTAGCTTTCTTTTAGGTTTCTTGTTTTAGAACAAGAAACCTATTTCCAATGCTAAAAATAGAAGCTGTTATAATACACAAACTAACTGATTAAAAAAAAAAAAACATACTTTTGTCCATTGAAAATGGCCAAAAGCATTAGCTTTTGTTTATTAAAGGATAACTTGCTGAGGTAAAAAAATGAATTTTCACATTTGTTATAAATAGACTCTATTAGAAGATTCTACAAACCCTGCCCATTTTTCCATGGCAGATAATTATTGATGACTGTTGAATGGCTCATCCAGACTATCAAATCACTGATTATTAAAACAAAATTTTTCTGCTTCACTATATCCTTAAATACAAGCTAAAACTGCACTAAATGAAAAGGGTTTACAAACAAATACTATAACAAAAAAATCCAGCATCAAGTTGTGTAACTTTCCTGGCTGTCATGAGATTTTATTCAGAAAATAACTTTTATATTTTTAATTACAATATAATAAAAAAATTGTGTGTGGCACCATCTATTACAAAATTTTGTTATAAAAACTTTCTATATTTTTAATTATTATTGAATGGCAAAAAATTTACTTTTGAGAGTAATGATCAGTTTCATAAACTGTAAATGCTAATAACATATATTTTCATTAAGTCCAACCCCATTTGAGAGATGACACATGACACCCGTCTATCTCCCCACACCCTCAATCTTTCACCACCAAAATTTAATAGCATCAATGTCTTTTATACATGAGCTACCATGCCAAATTTTGTTTCTTCATCATTACCCCATCCTGAGATATTAAATGAAATTGATGCCAACACACACCAATTATTTTGTCTTTTTTTGACTTTTTTGGATTCAGGAGGTCTCAGTACATGGAGATCTGCAAAAAACTTGGAGAATCAAATTTGATACAATTCCAATACTTTTGTTATGTATACATAACAGTTCAGAAAGTAAAATGGATAATAAAAGAAAAATAAAACCCAAATAAAGATAAAAGCTCTAAAAAACTAAAAAATAAAAATAATGTCAATAAAACCACAAAAGAACTGTAATAGATACAATTTAACTAAAGCTGAAATTCTATAATCAGTTTAACACTATTTTCAAAATCAACAGTTTAAGCCAACCAACTAGATTATTTTTAGGCTACAGTAAGAATCTTTAAACTAGTTGTTATAGTTTAGAGAATAGTTTAATCATTATTCATGTATCATTTAAAGTCACAAGTGGGAGAATTGCATCATCAAAGAATTCACAGTGAAGGGTTAGAGAAAACAAACTGGAGAATTATTTTAAAGTTCATTTCTATGACTGTTCTCAAACTGTCAAAAAAAATCAACTAAGAAATTTCAAAGCCAGTGAAATAGTTGAAAATGTGTTGCAAATGTTATAGGAAGTACTACACTAAGTTAAGATCAATATTAATCAAAATTGAAGGCTCTTGAGAATCAGAAAGTAATGAAAAGGATAAAAATAATATCTATATATATTGGAATGTAACAATAAAGAAATTGATAAATATGATTCTTCTGATGATGAATGATTTAATTTTTATTAATATGTTTCAATGTCTTGTTCTGTCATCTGTATTTTATACTGAATTAATTAAATTTCTATAATTGATCCTAGGGCTTATTTATGAAAATATCTAGTAATATATAGAATTTATTCAAAGTAAACATATGTTTTAAATTAATATATAATAAAATTTGTTATAACCTATAATATTTATCTTCCATAAAGATGCCATATTTTCTTGATTCTAAGATGTACCATGAGTTTGAAATCAAATTTTAAGATTTTTTTTTTTATGGTGGAGAAAAATTTTTAAATAATCAATTTTATTAAGCTTTGTTAAGTAACAACAAGTTAGAAAAATAATACAAATACCATGAAACAGATAATATTTTCAACTGTTTCCATGCTCTTCTCATATACAATAACTGTTCACTTTAACATTGCATCACAATGTCATCTTGAAAACATTTTAAACATTAAAAAAAGTTTTTAGAAGTTTAAATTAAATTTTTGTCACCAGCAAAGCTCATTTGAACTGATGTGATCATTGAGCAGCTTAGCCAAAATGTCCAATACTGATGCATAACATACCACTTGATATACTTGCAATAATTGCTGATTGAGGTTTTGGACTGTGCCATCAATTTTAAGACACTACTGTTTCAAATAAAGAGAAAAAAATATTTGTCATGTGATACTGTAAGTATGAAGAATATTATAGAAAGAACTTTATTTTTATATAAGATTTAGGAACTCTTCAATTTTCAATAATATATTAATATTTATAAATATCAAAATTATACAAAATATTAATCAAAATTAAATATAAGTTACAATAAACTTATATTATATTCTTGAATTAAGTATTACTTTATATTGATTTAGATAATTTTATTATGAAATAAACTTATATTAAAAATAATGTGGCATTTAAAATAAACATTTTTGAATTTATTATTATTAAACTATTCATAAATATATTTTAAAAACCTACAAAATTAAATTAGCTGAAGATGATCTAAAAAAAATCTATAATTTCTGTGTATATACTATCTACTTGGACCTTGTTTATTAATAAAGCTTATTATACTGATATAGTTTCTGATTAGTAGAGAGGAGATCTTGGAAAAACAAAAGATCTTTATTTTGAGAAAAAAATATTTTCATAATTGAAGATCTAGACAATACAAACAGTGTTTGAGTACTTTAAATCCTTTTCACTCCATACAGGAACTATAAACAGTAGGTGACTTGAAGCAAAAAACTTCTTAAATTGACAGATAAACACTATTAAAAATGATCTCAACATCAATCTTCTATTGTAGGTAACAATGTCTACAAAACATTAAAAAAGTGTTTAAAAATTTTTCACAACAGCATCCTTGTCATATAATCACACTTATAACTGAAAGTCCTCTGGTGGATTTTTTGGATAATTCACAAATCATTTACATAATTATACATAAGCCTAAAATTTATTTATAGCCATCTTTATTTTCACCTGTTTTGACTAACATTTTGTTTTGATTTTTGACTAAGATCTCCTCTCTTTGCTAATCAGAAACTACACCAATATAATAAGTCCTATTAATAAACAAGATCCAAGTAGACAGTATATACACAGAAACATACAACAACAAGAACACAGAGGTAAAAAGACTTAGAATCTATAATTCATTAAACTAAAACTTTCTACAAATGTCTAGTCTGTATTGTAAAATAGAAGACACAAGTTAATGATTCTAAATTTATTAAGTAAAGATAATTTATATTGACAAACAGAAATCACAGTTTCTACAGTTACACTATTCATTTTCAAAATATGGTAATTAGTATAGAAGAGATTACTATTTCCTGTAGTATTATAATATTCTAATTTTTGTCTGGGCTTTTAAATAGAAAAAAAAATACATCATCATTAGTTTTCATCAAGATAATGCAATGAACAATAATGAAATACCAACATCAACTAGTTTCTCTGAAAATAGGAATTTTCTATTTTATTTCATAAGAAACCAGCAACTGATCATGTTCTATAAAGTATTATTTGACCAAAATCTCAATGCAATATATATTATTATGAATAAATCTTAACTGACAAAGTTTTAACATATAAAGAAAGTTATGAAGTTTGAAAATTAAATTACTGAATAATCTAAAAATTAAAATTAGAAAAAAGCTTTTTATTTTCATTTATTTCAATTCTAAAATTTCAGAATTAGGCATGCAAATAATATATATATATACTGTACTTATATAACCATTTTTAATAATTTTTATTTTTCTACTTTTGTTAAAATTTTCATTTTTATAAATAAATACATTGCTTTTTTAATTTGTAAATGTCAGTAAACTAAAGAATGTTATAATATAATATGATCATAATTTTAAAATAAGGTTAAACCTAAACTATTTCTTGTTATTTCTATTTCCTAGAATTTCTAAACTCTTGTAATCTGATGACAGATGAACTGTAATTATATAAAAATTACTTATTGGAATTATCATAAATTGTGATAAATTAATGATGCTGTATGTTTAACTTTTTCTTACTTTAGCAAGCCTATGACTATTAATTAAAATAAATTCTATTAATAAAAGACAAGAATTTAAATTGCCAGTAATAACTTTTATTTATAACATAACACATTCTTATTGAAATTCATTTATTTTCATTCACTTTCTCATTTGTTTAATTTTTACATCTTTGATTTTAATAAGTTGTTCAAGAGTGATGATGATGGTAGTTCACACAATTTTTTTTGTTGACAATATATTATAATATTTGAAAATTACTTACAGTATCTATATTGAATATTATAAAAATTATACCTTATTCATTGAATACCAAAAATTAAAATTAAAAAAAGTAGAGTAAAAAAAATTAAATATATATTATTAATAAATTAGCATTCTTTAAAAAATATAATTTTAATTAAATCATAATTTTCATTGCTTTAAATTAAATTAATCATTCTAAAATGAAAAAACTGTCTCACCTGATTTAGAAGGGCTTGTTTCTAAAAGAGAATTATTTGCCATTGCCCTTAATCTGAAATCAAACATTGGATAATTAGTTTTTATAAACTTTTAATTAAATTAGAATGATTTTAAATATAATTAAATAATACCTTTGACAAGTAGAGTAATAATAGATATCTATCATAATAATAATTTTACTGAGTTCATCCAATATCTTGTTTTTGACACTTAATATCTTACTATTAAGTTAAATAACTGCCATTATAAACTTCCACTTCTGTTTCAAATTACGTCTTAGAATAAAATCAAAGGAATCTTGACAAAAAGTACTAAATAACAGAAAATCATGTTTCTGTTCAGAAATGCTTGATTAATCAAGCAAACCAGAAAATATGTTAAAAAAAAATGTTGTATGATATAGGTCACAGAGGTTTTAATTCATTAATGTGATAATTTCATTGAAAATAAATTTCTGATAATCCCATTATTTAATTTTAGTAAAACACTATAAAATAATATTTATTTTAAAAATTTAACTATCAACAGATATTTATAACAAATAATTTATTTATTTAAATAATATAAAACAAACTTAAATAAAAATTACTTAAGTATTAAATAAAAATAAATATTAAGTGTAATAAAAATAAATTAAAAGTTCAATGCAAAAAAAATTCTAATTAACACAAAATTAATAAATATTTGCACCTATTTAAATTCCTGTAAAAAATATAAATATAGCAAAAAATAAAACAAGTCAAGTAACTTTGCATGTATCTTTGTATCTTTATATACATAATTTATTGAAAATAAAACAAAAGCATACAAAATTAAGACATGCTAAATTCATTGGAAGATTAGATTTCAAATTAATGAAAGTGCTCTCATGATTGTTTTGACTTATACACACACAAAATGTATTGAATTTATGTGACAAAAATAAAATTTGACCTAGAGATTTGACTTAATAAAGTTCAAGACAATCACCATATTTATTTTGCTAGTAAATTAAAATTCCCAAATTCACAATTGATAATATACTGAAGAAATAGAATACAATAGAATAGCATAGAATATGCAACCATCAGGTGTCATGTGCTGCTGAAACTGATGGAGATATTGAATAATGAAACCATACAACACCTCACTTCAGATATAAAAACTGTTATCCAAAAGTCATAAGGGTATCTGCTATTTGTTGAGAGCTTCTTGCTATAAACTTTCAAAACAGAGCAGAGCAGTTACCTATACTCTTAAACAAAACCAATATACAATATAAATTGGCATAGATATTGGACTCTGAAACAATACAAATTAATTTTATGGAATGAAAAGTCATACTGTATACTCCTCCAGTTGAACATGTTTAAGATATGAAAGATACCAGAAAATACTTCCTAATTGTCTCATTATTCCAACAGTGAAGTTTGAAGGTAGTGCTATCATAATGTAAGCTTTTTTTATAGCATGACTAGATCTCATGGTCAGTATGCCTAGAAATAAGAATTTGAAGTCCTGCATACAAGCTCTTGATAGCCTTGATGAGATTTGTTATGTTAGAAATGCTTTAAAACTACAGGAGCTATGAATTATCCAGGATATCAATACAGAACTTTGCATTCATATTTCTAGGAAGAAGAATGGGTCCATTTAGCCATCTTTTTTGAGATAGCGAAATGTGTAAATTTTTTTTTTTTTATTAATAAGCAGTAGTTTTAAAGATTTAATTTTCTGTTAGTAAAAATAGCATTAATTTTACAGGGGGTATGAATCTTTATGGCTCCTAAGTTTTCTACAGGCCCAGGTAAAAATTTCCAGCTTTCCCCTCTCAACAGCCCTACATTCCAAGTCAAAGTATTGATTTAAAATTCTTGGTAACATCTACCATGCCTCAGTGAATGTCACACTTTTCCTTGATGCCTGCATTAACCAGTTCTGGAGTTCATTCAACTCTCTGCTGAATACCTGGAATATATCCTGGAGATGAAGATGGCAAAGGCTTCTCATATCATTTTCTTCCATTGTATCTTAGTATATGCATTGGAGATTGATTCAAACACTATAAATCTTCAAACATGACATTTGTTTCTCTTTTACATTTTATCATAAGCCTGTAGTATATAAAAGTGCTTACTTCTTTATTCCATGGATCTTTTTTGCATACATGAGAAACAGATGATTATATATAATCCATAATACATAAAAAATACTTATTAAATTGATTGCTTCAGAGGTAAAAACATTATGTTACATGTACCAGTAAATATTTAGAGAATAATATAAAAGTTAAAATAGTACTTAGCCTTTAAACCACACTCCATAAAACATTAGATATTCAGTAAAATCATCATTATGTATAGAGATCATAATTAAAATTATCCTATTCAGAAGACAACTTTAATTATGACTTTGTAGCTTCAATCAATAAGCTGATCAAAACCAAAGTTTGTGTACTACACACTCAGGGCTGGATCTAGGTTTTTTGGGGCCTAGAGCTTATCGAAGTCCAATGGGGTCCCATTTTCAGTTAATACAAATAATACTATAAATTATCATTATTATTTTAATATTAATATTAACTATTTTTTACTATACGATAAGTACTCATTGTTAATAAAAAAGTATTAAAAATTTATTATAAAAATTCAATTTTTGTGGGCCCTTGACACTTGGAGCCCAGGGCTTAAGCCCTATTAGTCCCTAAGTAGATTCGCCCTGTACTCACTATTCAAACAATGAGGAAAAGGATTATGAAAAAAAATTTTAGTTTCAAAATCGTCTTCTGTAGTAGGACGACCAGATTTTTTCAGAAAATCCAGGGACACATGTCAATTGTCACTTTAGGGTACACAGTACCAGCCTAAGTGTAGTACTGTACATATGCATGACTGAGACCTAACATTTTAATTTTGATTGAGCTCATTTTCTTCAAACAGCTCTCCTCCAATAAAGTTTATAGCTATTTACTTTTGGTGCATTTTAGCTCTATCACTTTCCTGGCTGTTATACAGTTGAGTCCCACTAGTCCGAACTAATTGGGACAGAGCCCTGTTCAGATTAGCAGATTTTCAGATTAGCTAAATAACTGAAATAATGCAGAAGCAAGAAGTAAAACAGGTCCAGTTATATAGATCCAACACCATCAATGACTTTTGTTTATGTTTTTGTGTGTAAGTACAGTATAGATCTGCTGTTTTAATAGCCCATATCAAACACTGAAAAAACTTATTAATTTTGTACAGTATTAATACAGTACTACAATAAAATAAAATTCTTTTTGTTGTGGAATTCTAAATATTTTTGTACCATTAATACCATTTAAATTCAACTGGAAAATACAAAAACAGGTATATTTTGCGAGCTAAAAAATTTCCTCTCCACCGACTGAAACATGTTTAGATTAGGCAGACATTCGGATTAGCAGGATGCTACTGTATATAAGAGGGAAAGTATGGTGATCGATCAAAAAATTACCCCACAGATTTTTACATTTTTGGAATCAGGAACCTGAAATGTCAAAAAATACAAAAAGAATTTGGGGGTAATTTCTGTATGTATGGATTTAGTGTGTGGGGGGCATGATTTTATTCACCCCTTTGAAGCTTAATAACTCCTGTACTTTTTGTTGAAAATTTCTAAAATTGTGCTAGGAGGTTTGTTTAAGAGCTTGATGCTATTAAATTTTGATGGTTAAAGGTCAAAAGGGTGGATAGATAAAGGGGGATCGTGTATCTCCAGTATGGTTGGTTTTAATGACAATTTTAATGATCATTACTAGCAAAAACTTTTACCATATAAGCATTAAATTACACACGTATGTCACTAAATTGACAATCATCAATCATTACTAGCATTTACAATTTTTTATGAAAGCCATCCCAACCTTCAAAATTAAGCTTTTTGCCATTTTATAATAGTTAACAATATAAAAAGTTTCAAAATAAAATATCATAACCAATGATACCACCAAATGTTACCAGGAAAGTTAAGCAACTCATTACTGGTTTATTTTTTGTTGAACTACAATTTGTAAAAATTGTTAGACTTATAAATTCCCATTGTTGTCTTCTGTCTGTCTGTCATTCCTTAATCTCAAAAACAGAGTTAGATAGTTAAAAGTTCAGACCATGTATGGAAAGCTTATGGGCAGGAGGTCTTGATTAACTATAAACAAACTTCCTCTTTGGACCAAAAGTCATGTTATTTCAACTCAAAATTTTCCTCTGAAAAAGAGTTAGATAGATGACTTGCACAACTCTATTGCTAACAGGAAAGGTATGATATACAAAGGCAAGACACTACTAAAAATGAGAACACTGTGATAAAAAATTGCAACCCAGCATTGTGACGATATCGCAATACATAATTGTTTATTTTCGTTTTAAAATTTGACTCCTTTTTGGCATTTCTTCAAAAAATTGATTATTTCATTAAGTGCAGAAGGGGTTAATTAAAAAAAATTACCTGGAAACACCGAAGACATTGGACACATCCTCTGGCAAAAAACTAGCAGCAGAAAAACTAGGACGACAGTGACAATATTACAGTAATCACAAGAAAACAAAAAAATGGGGTAAAACAAAGAGAAGACTCATCCAAGCAAGATCCAAGGATGCTTCCTTCCCAAGCAGGGACAGAAGGTCAAAAAATGAGGATTGACCCTAGAAATCAGAGACAAGATGGTCACTCTATCTATAGGGAAAATGGTCCTGCAAGCAAGAAAGAAACATGCAGCAACTTTTGCATCAACATTTCACTGATGACAAGATGATTAGTCATAAGTTTCTGACCATCTGGCCACTGAGTTCTCCAGTTCTAAATCTATGTGATTTCAGGCTATTGGCCCATTAAAGAATATTGTTTATCGTGGTAATGTTGCAACATTGGCAGACTTAAAGAACAGTATTGCATTGCATATACAAAGCATTACAAGGGAACAGTTGCAGTCAGTCTTCAAACACACTGTGCATTGTCTTCAAATTTTACACCTAAATTAGCGGTTCCCAAAGTGTGCACCGCAGCACCCTAGGGCACTACAGCTTCCTCACAGGGGTGCCACAAAATGTTATAAAATTTTTATAATGTTAAAATTTGTATAATGTACTTGTTAGAATTTGACATTGGGCACCTTGGGAAAATCTGCATTTAGCAAGTGTGCCTAGAATCAAAAAAGTTTGAAAACCACTGACCTAAATGATGAGAAACATATTGAACATTTCCTGTATCACTAAATAATCTTTACAGCACATACTCATATGTCCCCATATGAACAAATAAATGTTTTTCATTGTGTTTCTGTTGTTTTGTTTTACAGTGCTATTCATCTTGTAACAGACAATTTTGGAACTAAAATTTTTCTTTGAAAAATTCTTTTCCATATCCTTTGAACAGTGTGTACACAAATTTTGGTATCAATTGGCAAATAGGACAACTTTAATTATGATCACCCAATACACAAATAACTTATTTTAAAAATAAAAATAAATTTTTTTTTAATTCATACATTCTATTATCATATTTTTATATTAGTTTCATAATAAATACCTTTCTCACAGAAAATAATAAATTTAATTAGACAAAATTAAAATTTTAGAATCTTAATTTTAAAAAATTATATCAGACTACATTTTGTTTTTATATCTTCAAATTTCAACTGGAATATAATAACAATTGCTTAGCAGAAAGGTATTTTAAATATTATGAAAGTGTCTTCAAATCTCTTTCATGAAGGATTTATATTATTCACATTTATATATGATTTTTAAAATATTTATGTAAAATAATAATACTAATTAATAATATAAAAATTTATAATGTAAAATTTTTGTATTATTCTCATTCAGTCATATTGTGAAAATAATTAAACGAAAAGAATGCAAAAGAAAAAAAAATGATAAAAAATACTAAGTACAATAATTTCAATTTCATTTATTTATTTTTGTTTTGTTATTATAATGAAATAATTCTCTCCTTAAAAAATTAACACTAAATGATATTGTTTCTTTAAATTGTATCAATTAATATTGGCTTATTGTAAAACTCTGTCACAAACCAAAAACTTTTCCTCAATAAGCATACATTAATGAGTTTTGTAGAATTCTCATTGAGTCCATGCCATAAGGTTGTTTATCCCTTTTCTTCTAACTGAAAAGCGAGTGAAGTTACAGAAACAAGATTTTCAATGAGAACCTCCTATGAAGAGAAATAACAGTAGAAAAAAATCAGATCAACATAACAAAAATTCAATTTTTATACAGTCTCAAACTTTCTTCTGGTTTTCTGTAAAATTGTTCAAAATTGACAGACAACATTCTGACATGCATCCAACAATATTGACAATATTTTCTATCATTATCCAAATGTGACTACTTTACATTCTGACTTTAAACAATTTATATGTTTTTTGTACTTTCTTGTCATCTTCCAAATAAAAATACAAAAGGTGATAAGAAATTTTAAGTTTGCATTAAGAACACTGATAGAAAAAATTATATTTTTTTCTATATGATATGATTCAAACATTTACAAGTTAAAACAATTCTATTATATATGCATATAAAATTTATTTTAATGTTTTTATTAATGATTTAAATTGTACAATGCATATTATTATTTTACATTTAATTTTATTAATTCAGTCAACATAATAAAAAAAATTCATCTTATGAAAATAAATAATATATTACCTGGAAGCTTTAGTAGATCGAATATAGTGTGTTCCACTTTCAATTTTTGTAGAAGAGGCATGGTTTATTTCTTCTGAACCTGATGAATCTCGTAAAATATTTCTTCTAAATGATGTTCTATTAGTTGCAGATCGTTTGGGTGAATGCAAATTAAACTGAGGAGAATCTTTTTCACTGTGTTTACTTCCATCAGACATTCCATCAACTTTAAATGATTCATTACTAGCATATGTTGAATCTTTAAGCGAACGCTTTGGAGAATCAGTTCTCTCACATTTCATTTCAGAAGGTAAAAAATCTTTACACATAACATTTCTTCCACATCTTACAATTAACCTACTATTTATGTCTTTATCTTTTTTCTGAGATTGAGTAGAATTTTCATTACAAGATACTTTCTTTTCTTCCTGTACTTTATGAACAGGTGATCTAGATTCACAAGTTCTGGCTCTTGCTTTAATAACTCCATCTGTTTCCTTAGGAGATTTATTAGAAGGTGTAAGTGCACTAAAAACTCTATGCAAATTAACAACGGGACTTGAAGATCTATTTTGATTAAGAATTTTTCTCTGAGGGCTAGAACATAATATTAAATCTTGATTTGTGCTTGTTTCATTACCCTTATATTTTTTTTCTGTTTTACTGTTGATTGTTTTAGCAGATAAAGAGGATTTTGTTGCTTCTGTCATGGCCTGACACTAAATGAATTTCAGTTAAAAAACCTGAAATGTAATAGAAATTTTAGCATATTAATTAAATATTTAAAAATTTCATTTCATATTAATGCTTCTAAAGAATTATAAAATTTAATTTAAATTGTTTTTCAATTAAAAGTGTTTTTAAATAAATCCCTTAAACTATTAATAATGAATTGATAACATGAATTCACTATTGGCTATATAATGCATTTATATACAATAATACTGAATACAATGTATTGCATTATATATTTAATAATGATATGATTAATTTATGAACAGTACTTTTACACAAGTTAAAAATTTTAAGAAATAAATCAATAGGATAAGATAAGTTTAGCTAAGTACTGTTTTCTACAATCTCTATGAAACTGCTGGTATAAATTAATAATAATAAACTCAACTAAATGTAAATACCAATAAACCAGCAAAAATAAAAGAAATAAAATGAAAACAAACAGAAAAAAACATTTGTTTTCATTTTATTCTTTTTATTTTTGCTGGTTTATTGATATTTATGTCTAATTGAAGTTATATGTACTGTTTTCTTTTCTAAAAATCATCTTGAAATTGAAATTTTAAAAATGAATTCCACTTTGAGTCTAAAAAAATTTCAAGTCACAAAATAATCTTTGGTTTACTACATTTGAAAAGTTCTGATCATACATACAGTCTGCAAAGATTGGACAAATTTAACTTTGTCAATAGTGTGGTTCCAGAAGAAAAAAAAAAAACAAATGTCAAAAATATTAGCAGTATTCCTGCATTTATCAGACATTTGTAGTTGTGTTAGAAAATGAAAAATAAGATAAAAATCTTGCCTGCTGCTAAATAGTTATTGTATTTTGCTGATTGAATTCCTGAATTGTGAAGTAACAATAAATACGAGGCATGTCCAGAAAGTAAGTACCGTTTTGGAAAAACTCACATAAAAAATCTTTTTTCAAAACAAAATTTATTTTTACATGAAAGAGCATGTTGGAAACTATTTTTCTACATATTTACCACCATTGTTCAGACATTTGTCATATCGGGAAACCAACTTGTCTATACCCTCTTCAAAGAAAGATGCCGCCAGTGAAGACAGCCATTGCTGAACATTGATTTGTGACAATCTCATGCAAAACAGTTTTTGAAATTTGTGGAAACTCATCACAAAGCAATCTTATTGTGAACTGTCTGTTTTCAAGAATTTTCTCATTAACTTTTGCAACCAAATCATCATTGACAACAGAAGGCCGGCCACTCCATGCTTCGTCATGAACATTGGTGCATCCAGCATTGAATTGTTGAACCCACTTTCTCACAATTCCATCACTCATTACATTTTCACCATAAATCTCTACAAGTTGATGATGAATTTCAACTGGCTTAACATTCTTTGCGTTCAAAAACCGTATTACAGAACGCACTTCACAGTTGGCGGGATCGGCAATCGTCTTAAACATTTTGAATGCTCACTAACACATGGAAAAACATCACAATCTGGCTCTAATGGCGTCACTGGACTGACAATCAACCAGAGACACGTGTGCACAGATGCTGAACTGCAATACTACCGCTGCGGTGGCGGTAAAACGAAACAGTACTTACTTTCTGGACACGCCTCGTACAAATGAGAATTCTGAGATCTTGGAAATTGCAAGTAAAAAATTGCCATTCAAATGAGCATACTATTGAACAATTCTGATGGGAAATATTCATTATCTGTCTATATTCTCAATTTTGCAACCTCTGACTTACATCTGCTTCTATGTTTAAAAGGTATTTATAGTGGAATGATTTTAAAAGAATGGAAATGACTGTTATGAAAGATGAGTTAAAGAATTTAGACTTCTTTGACAAGGGAATAAAATGCTTGTGCTGCAATACAAAATGTACAGTACATGCTTTGATTTCAGAGCTTGATTATTTTAAAAATTACATAAATATGTATGTAAACTTTTGGCAATAAAAGAATATGCAAAATGGTTTTTCTTTGTATCTTTTGTGATCAATCAGAGCTTATTTTCTGAATACTCTTGTAAATTTATTGCTACATTAAACATACAGTAGAACCTCCATTATCCGGATTTTCGATTATCCGGATTTTCCAAAATAAACAAATATTTTACGAATTTGCTGATTTGCACTTGGCGAATTACGACACTGTTTATGTACGTGATGGAATGCATAATTTTTTTTGTTTCAACAACATCTCACCCAGCACAGTGGTCGTAAACTCTTAAATATATTTTACGTCGTAATAAAAATATAACTTGACATACGTATTTATAAATAATTTATATTCAAATTACATCATTTCTATGACCAAGGGCGGCGTAAGGCATGGACGACGTGGGCCACCGCCTATGCCTCGCGGTCCGAAGGGCCTCGCGCCTCGAAGGTTTATGCATTACTTAAAAGCCGTGAACGCGACGAAAAAATTTTACTCGTCATAAAACGATAAATAGTGTATCAAATTTTTATTCATAAAAATGCAGTTTCAACTGCTTTTTATTTTATAAAATCCGTCTTCTTGCGCCACCCGAGGGCCTTTTAACAATAGCTAGTCTGTTAGCGTTGGTCAGTAGTAGTACAAATTCAATACGAACGTTTGTTTCTTGAAAATTTAATCACTATTAAAATACAGTATTTACTTTTAATATTACCGATATATCATCGAAAAGAAAACGTGATGTATTATCATTAAAAGACAAATTAAAGTATTTGTTTCGATTATCCGGATTTTTCCTTATCCGGACTACCTTCATCCCCAATTAGTCCGGATAATCGAGGTTCTACTGTATATTAAAAATTGTTCTCTAAAAGTAAACACCACATAAAGAAAGCACATATAAATTTAATTTATAAATCACTGAAAAACAATTTAAAAATTTAATAATAAATGAAAACCAAACTGAAGTTGTTCAGATTCATGCTGACTGCATTCACATGACAGCATTTAACAGCTGAATGCTTCTATGTAAAGTCAATCTAAATTTGTCAGATTCTGCCTGCACTATTTTATTACTTTATATTTTATATTTATTACTGAATATTTTACTATTATTTATGAATTAACAAATAAAGGAAAACAATGTAATCATCAGGAAAAAAAATTGACAGAATAAATTTCAAGTAAGAATTAAATAGCCACTTTAGTTAATCTGCTAAATTAATCAACACATCTTTAACAGAGGGTGAAGTTAAAAGAGCATTAACATTTTCAGTCCAATAAATTTTAAATTTATAAAAAGAATGTTTTAATAATCATGAATTTCACTTTACTTTTATTTTGAAATTATAGAATTTCATCCAAATACAAAATGAAAAACCATATCATCAAGTATCAGTGCAACAAAACTTGCATCAAATTGCTTTTGAAACTATGTAATTCATAACCTCACTTTACACTTCAGATTTAGAAATAACTAAGACAATCTATCTATGAAATATCTATGACTAGTTTAAATATTAATTGGAAAGTTTTTCTGCAAGTTGTTTTCAATTAATAAAAAAAAACTCAAATTACATCTGAACAACTTTTATAGGCTGTAACTAATAAAATACAAAAAACCTAAAATTTTACATTTGAAAACTGTTCAGCATTTTTGACACATCAGATTTACATTTAAAAAATTTCCAACAGAAACATGACTTATTTACATTTAAGATGCAAATTTTCCTTAATAAGAAAGCAATTCTTCCTCTTGTTCTGTCTATCATTATTACTACTATGAAGCATCACTTGATTGTGACATAATATTTATTATGTTTGACAAAATTTTTTAAAAAATATAATCTGGAAAATTATTATGTTTGACATAAGAATTTTCCAGATTATATTTAAAAAAAATTTTGTCAAACATAATAAATATTATAAAAATATTCTGTTTACAAGACAAGAGCTGAATGCTTAGACATATTATCAAACTTTTTTTCTATATTTCAATCTATAATTATATTCAAAAACTCATATTATATTTATTTATTATGTTAAATTATAATTATATTACTAAATGTGTAAAATTTTTTAAACTAACAGATAATCAAGAAATTAAAATATCTTTTTAGGAAAAAATTTTTCAGAGAATAAAAAAATAATTACAGTAAAGTGTTCACTTCACTAACAATATTACATATTAATTTATTATAAAAAGTGAATAATTATATAACACTAAACATAAATTAAAAAACAAATAGATTATAAATAAAAGAAAAAATACTTTAGCATGCAAATAAAATTAAAATTTGATTTATGTAGTTTAATTAAAATCTAAAGTTAAAATTTATAAATTTTCCTTTACTAGTGTTACCTGTCATTCTGTTTACAATCTACTGAAAATCTGAATTAGGAATCAAATTGCCAGTTTTTCAATACATGATAAAACAAAATCTGTAAATTTCCAAGATTGATATCACTATTTTATCTACAGCCTAATACTGATAAAGTATAAAGTTTTTTTTTATTCCTATGTGGAATAGATACCTGCTTAATCTATACAAAAGTATAAATATTATGATAAACAAGTTGTAAACATCTGTTTTCATCATTAATTTTTTAAACAATAATTTTGAATATTCCATAACAATGATTTACTAATTTAAAATACAATTTTCATTTATTTTAATGAGACAAATATTTTCAGTTTTCTATAACCAAATATTGCCAGATAACTTAAAATTATAAATTTACTAGTATTTTAATTTAATTTTTTAAATTTAATATACCTTTATTTACAAATGTATCAAATGTTCAGATTACATTACTCTCAGTCAAGTGCAGTGTCAATTGTTAATTTGTTATATGAAACTTGAGTTCTAATATTAGATAGCCAATAGCCATCAGTTTAATTTAATGATTATTAAAGATTACATATATTTAAAGGCCTAATTATTTATTATTCTTAATTTTTTACAGTGGCATGCTGCCCATGGAAGCTATGGAAGCACCGCTTCCCTTGTATTTTCTAAAATATAAATACATATTGTGCAATTATTTTTGTATTTTAATGTACTTTGAATTAATTAAAATTAATATTTTATTATAACTACATTATGTAACTTATTTCTATACTATATGTGAAAAAATATAATAAGATTGCTGTTGTATATTCAAATATAAATTAGTATATGCATATTCCCAATGGAAGTGCTGTATTGTTGAATATGGGACAGCTTCCACGACAAAAATATATGAATCATGTAAAGCAGCCAGATTACATGCATTTGCGCATACGTTTAACAGAGCACCAACCTCAAATGGTTTAGCTCGTGAATGCTACACACTGAAATATCATATAATGCTTCCGATGATTCTATACAGCTTCCCTATCATCAAATGTCACTGCATGCCACTGATTTTTTATATTATTAAACAAAATCTTGATAAAATATTAATATCATATATTATCTAAAATTTCTGAAACAGTTTTAAAATTTTATATCTAAATTTAATAATATAAATACCAGTAAAGAATTACAAATTTTTATTTATATTAATTAAGAAATTATTTCTTCAGTCTTTGCTTTAACAACAGAATAGTTTTAATATAAAATAATCTGTTCAATTTGTTCAAATATTAATTTTTCTAGTCATTTTGTCCTAGATTACTAAGATCTGATTTAAAGTAATTGTATGATATCAGAAGTTCTAGTTACAGCTTTCATATATAAACAAACATTTAGCATTAAAGTTTTCATGTTTTTAAAGAAGTACAGTACTTTGACTCTTTAAGATATTACTGTATCTCAAAAATAAGTAAAAAATAATTAATTAATTAAAGAAGTCTTAATTTAACACTAAATAAATGTTTTTGAAGCATTTACATCTTCAAATGCATCAATTTAATCCTTGTTCACTACACAAAACATTTTTACAGAATTTCTCTAAAAATATTGTACAGATAAGATGCTGAATAACAAATGTATGTTATATCAAAAAAGATAAATAAGAATACAGTTTAATTAAATTATTAAAACGTTAAGTGACAGATTAATTATAAATAATCAGTTATATTCTAATGTTTTAATTTATCTCAAAGCTTTATGGATGAACTACTATATGTTAAAATTAAAACATAAACAGAATAAATATTTAATTAGAAAATAATGAATAATCACTATGTAAATAGTGTTCAAATGCAAATATAAAAATATATATATTTAACTTTTCCTAAATATTTTCACTTTTAAAATATTATTATTTTTGTTAGAACCACAGAATTTACTTATTGCCAAAAATTTATTATTTATTAAATGAAAGGAAACTACAGTTTTATATATTTTTTTTTGTTTTTTTTTTTGAGAGATTAGAGTTTTTATTTGAAAATACCTAAATATATTAAAAGATGAGTCTAAAAATTATAGGTCTAAATAATTCATTTTTTGAATTATTATTTAGACTCTTTTGCTCTTTGTAACCTATTACTTGTTCAAGTAATTGCTTCAAACTTTGTTTCAAAGT